AGAACTTTTTATGATGGATGAATAGGAGGCAGAGAAACAATCGATATTTCCATGCGCTCCAGTTGCTGGTTTTGGGAGTTTAGGCCAAAAACAGACCAGCTACAATTGATAGATCTTTTCTCGGCTGTTGCCATTTACAGATTTATGAATTTTATCAGCAAAACTGTTGAAAAATAAAAAATTATCGGAAATCGCAATTCAAAAATACCCCGAACCCAGTATGGTAATAAGTAATCCTTACTTTAGTAAGCTCCAACAACGAAACACGCTGCTCGTCATTGATATCATTCTTGTAACGCTGCGCAAATGCCAACAGTGATTGCTGCCAAACAACCGGCAAATGTCGTTCGTCTTTTCGAAACCTGAAAAAAATTATACGTTTTTTTTATTGCAAATCTCAAGACTTCTCACCCATTGCCCCTTCCCGAAAGATGGGATGTAAAATAAGCTTCATCGCAACCCACTGCGCAATCGGACGTGCAAAATTTGTCGAGGAACGGTGAGAAATTCGTAAAATTACTTCCACTCTGTAAATTCTGTGGACTATGCTTACCGAGAAGTTGAAGCTTTTGCCAAAATCACTAGGGAAAAATTATACGTGTTTTTATTGCAAATAGGGCAGCAAAAATTTGAAATTTTAAGTGAGCAGCATCGAATTATGCCTAAGGAATGCCAGTCAACTAAGGTGGACAGGGCAGCAAAAATTTGAAATTCTGAGTGAACAGCATCGAATTTCAATCAACGTAACAAAGCACATCTCACAAATCTCACAAATCTAAATCCTGGCAACTAATGGCTGATATGTGTTGATTATTTGATTTTTGCCTATGATCATTCTTATTTTTTCAAATGTTTTATTTATTCTTTATTTTAATATTCTTATTTTTTTAATATTCTCACTTTTTTTATTTTTTTGATTTTTTCTTATCTTTATTTTACTTATAAATGAAAATATTTTATTTTTTATTTAATATTCTTATTTTAATATACCAAACCCAAGAACAAAACGTTAACATCATTAAACGATATACGTATAAACACCAATGCCTAAGTACTCCAACGGATCTCGCAGCTGTCGGCTTCCGAAGTTCGCATGTAATCTTCCTTTCCCCGCTCAATCCGCCTTTTGAACTCGAAGGCTTTCTTCCAGTCCGCCGTATTGTAGCGCCACTTCCTTCAGGAATAAATGTTTTTCCTACCTCAGAGGTCCATGCTCCTTCTCCCTCCTCATCATACTATGATTTCAGCGTTCTAGCTTCTCAGATCCCCGAGTTATGAACGTGCGCCAGAAAAAATTTGGCAGTGTCCCGTACGAGGGATCTAGGCGCGTATGGGGGAAGATCTTAAAACGGGAGGATGACACACTGGGTAGGAACATATGTCCAAAGTTTCAGCTTGCCAGCTTTGATTCCCTTTTGTAGGTTTTTTATATACACACAAAAGAACGGAATAAAACATTTTAGAGTTTATCACTCTTCATGTTTGACACGACAGATATGATCGAAGCAGCAAAAATCGGGTAAACAGTCAAATGCTTATTCTGAGGGACACTCATTCGTTTGTCCATTATTTTTCGGTTTTTTTCGGTTTCTGTGCTGACCTATTATTGCCGTCCTGCGCTTCTCCACAACAGCAATCATTCATCAGAGGCATGCACGAAGCTGACCGTGTGGGAATTTCCAGTGGTGCTCGTCTCTAAGGATGCAATTACGAAGCCCTCATAACTACAGAACAAAAACTCAAATTCAGAATTCAATTAGCCCCAGTACTATTATAGAAAAACAAAAGTCTGTCATGATTAAAACGAAAAAACAAAACTTCTGCGCAAAAAAAGTTACCTCAAAAAGTGATTTACGAGTGCATCGATGGCTCGATAGGGTAAAGTGTATTTTTTATCAATGAGAATCCGCAAAAACAGGGAATTTGTGCCCGTATATTCCATATTTGCAATCTAAAAAACGATAATCATTAGAATAATTTGAACTTGACACAATAAAAGTTTAAAATGCACAGAATATCCTGTAACATGGGCTGCATGAAAAAGCAAGATTCATCTAATTCCCATCATTTCAAGATATTTCGACCCGAACAAACAGCAACTTGGCCTTCAAGCGCTTTTCATTTGGATATGCAAAATGTTGTTGAAAGTTCACTGTCTTCTTAGATATTGGCCTAAAAGTCGATTGTAAAACATCAGTTGAAGTCCTCGAACTTCACGGTGACAAGGCGTCTCATCAGAGGAGTTTTTCTATCACTTAAATGATGAGTAAAAAGTCCAGCAGTTATAAGCATGCTAGAACATACGACTAAGATAATCTCTCAAGAAAAGGGCAAGACCGTTGGCAATTATAAGTCAGCGACTGGCTGCTAATGGAAAACTGCTAATACACAGGCCGCTACTACAAGATACCTCAACTGCTTCTAGAATAAACAATAAAAATTCTCATTTTTGGCAGTAAAAAAGTTTATTATTGAAAGGAGTTGCCCGTACGCGGCTACCGCGCTTACCTGGGGTATAGGATTCAGTGCATCAACACCGAATAGGATGGGGAACATCACTGTAAGATTTGAGCGTTCTAGCTTCTCAGATTCCCGAGTTATGAACTTCAACACATTGGCGGATCCAGGCGGGGGAGGCAAGGAGTCTTGCGCCACCCACCCCAGAAGATTAGGTAGCAGTTGTTTTACTGCACAAAAATCTGCTCGGTATCTCCTCTCCTTCCCCAGGAGCCTTCAAGGGGAGGGAAGGGGGAAGGGATAGTACAGCGAATGAAGGGTTGGTTG